GTATTAATTTGCTGTCTCTTTTCAGTCAATCGCATATCGGCTGGTTTTGTTCCATCTAGTATCAAAGTGCTATACAAGATCGAAATGCAGACTCCATGGATCCTTATTGGTGTAGTGTTTGTTGCGACTGCTTATGCAGTGCTCAAATGTGATGAAGACGATTCGCTGTGTATGTCTATGGCTCGTGCTGACGATGATAATTCGACACAATGTGAGGGAATGGCAAAGTGCTTCTCGGACGACGATTGTCATGGAGGTTTCTTCTGCTTGATGTCAACACTTATTGGTGTTTCGTTCTTTCAAGCGGTGCATTGTTTTTTGACGTTTTGAAACTTAATTCGGTTGTTTGAAAGCGCTCTTTATTTCGATACTAGTTGCCTTCGTCAGTGCTCTTTTACTCAAAACTCGTCTCGTTGAAAGTTGCATATGTTCCGCAACTATATTGATGTCAAAACATGATCACTCGCAAGGATTGACTACTATTAAGACCGTTAATTAGATAATTGATACAAGCCAGATCATGCCTGGCTCACGCTCACAACATTGATGACATTGGTGCACCGCTCGATTTCGAGCAAAACTTTCCTCCGGGAGCGGGAATCGAACCCGCGGCGTACCAATTACCGGTTGTCAATCCCGTTCACGGAGGAAAGTTTTGCTCGAAATCGAGCGGCGTACCAACATCATTAATATACCAACATTATTATTAAGACCGTTTCCCAAGTGGTTTATATTTGGTTTTTGAGATGGGAAGGTAGCATTAGCTGGAAGTGATTTCTTGAATTGTGTTGTGTTATTTGTGGTTGTTGTTAGGTACGTGCCTGGGAATAGCTGTCGGCAAATGTAATTGTGGCGGATGTTTGTCGTTGTTGCCGTGTGAAGACGATTCGTCTTGTGGTGGACTGAAAGGCGCGTGCGATACTAAGAAGAAGACCTGCGATTGCGATGCAGGTATGAGTCTTCATCTCATCCGTCTTGTTTACAAGTTTTTATCCTATGTGGGGAACACGTTGACGTTCTGATTGTTCCACCAAGAAATCCTAGCCTTGGGCG